ACTGTTAAATTCTAATACAGCGCGCTGCTTGAAATGTAAGTTGGTCCTTTTTCAAAGAGGAGTTGGCTGGCTCTTGCAGTTATTAATCATTAAACCGTGTGTGGCGAGGAGCAGCTTGAGCCGTTTTGATAGCAGTTAAGAAAGCTGGTGTGTAAGTGGCAGTGACTGTCAGGTCCCATATGGTTAAAAAAGCTCTGATATTGTTCGCAGCCATTCTTTTCCACAGCAGAGTCTTTAATTTTGTCCAATTTATCACACGTGCCCATTTATGTAAATGCAGTGGACAAAACATTAGCAGCAGCTTTGAATGTATCACAGTGCAGTACAACACTACTCACTTTGACCTTGGTAAGAAGAAAACCCCCAAAACTTGCATATTAATATACAATACTGAGCTAATACTATTTCATGCAAATCAGCAGGACCATAAATCTAATTTCTTTCGTATTTCCATGAGTCTTCTCAACATTCGCTTCCATAGCTGCCACATTAGTCTGTTCCTCCTCAGTTTGCCTCCCACTGCATGCAGCCTGTCACCCTGACAGTGCTGAGTGTCTGTGGCATTGTCACCTCGATGTCATGTCCTACTTCTTCCCTGTCACTCAGCCCCGCTGCCTGTCCACCGGCCTGTCTGCTACATTGCTCCGTCTAATGTACTTCACCGACGCCAGGATCCTTTTTTTTTCTTTTTTAAAAAACGTTTGGGAAGCTATAATCCTTTAAATCAAATCAGGAAAATGAACACAGCTTCTTACAGCATCACTGATGATCATGACTCTGTTTCAGGATGGAATGGGAAACCTCAAGCTGAACCAGGATGGGATTCGCATGGAGGGAATCAGCGAGTTTCTTTTGCCTCTGTATGTTAATGAGATTCAGTCCAGAAGGGTAAGTTGCTCCCTTTTCTCACCAGCTTCAAGTTGCTTGTTGATCAATACTCTCTGATGCACTAGGAATAAGTACCATTGACTGAAACGCATGTTAAAAGCTCTCAGGGAGAAAGATATCTGTAAAGCTGCAGACAAGCTCATATTGATCTTTCACTGTTGAGGAAGTTATGATCAATTCATTATCAACAAAGGCCAACGTTCTCCGAGATCAGATTTTATGCATGCCTGGGTTTAAAAAATAAAATAAAATAAAAGACGACCCCTTTCCTCTCTGTGTATTACTCCTTTCCTCTTCGGCTTCCCTCATTTCCCGTCGTCCTCAAACGGCGTATTATCAGGACCTCCCATCGGCAGGAGGTGGGTAATAGGCTGCTTCTCAGCTCCTCTCAGGCCACATACAACCTACAGGAGATTACAGACGATTACAGGGGGGGACCAGAGTGTCCCTGCTGGATTTCCAATCAAGCCCACGCGATAAATTCCTCCCCCTGTGCACTTCCTCCCTCTCCGTTCTCCTCTTTGATGTTTAGTAGATTAACCAACACAGCTCCAGCCCAAAGTTGATCCAAATGTTCTTCTCCCACACAAATCACAGACGCTCAGTTGGATCATCCCCTTTTTCAGTGATTAGGCATGGTGCAGAAAGCAATTTCAAGCACTGTAGGCTAGGGTTCCAGTATAAATTTGATTTTTTTTTCTGTTTTTTTTTTTTTTTTTGAGGGACATGGATGGAGGAAGTGGCTCGATTATGGCTCCAATTTGCCACAGCAGATTGAGAAACAACTCCGAATTGCCCACTGGTGCTCTTTGATGTCCTAGTTGGAGCTAAATGTTGATTTAAATATAACGCTCTTGTGCCTTAGCGGTAGAAGGAAAAACCACCTCACGGCCATAGCAGATGCCCAAAACTGAGTATTAGACAAAGACAATATTTCACCGCCTAGTTCAATACCACCTGCAGACATTTTTACGGACTTGTTTTACAGACAGCGCTGTGCAGGGCCCCTCTTATCTGCCGCACCAGAGATATTTGCAGGACAAAAGTCTCCATGGGTCACTCAATATTTCCTCACCTGAGGAAATATGTCAAGCACACACAGAGCAGGGATTATGGTTATGTTTACACAACAGTGCACGGATCTTCTCTACAGTCAGATAACCAGCATTGATCAATAAGCCATTACCACAAATGGCAGTGAACTTGGTAGTGCATCAAAGGTTTCTTAAAATCAAATATAGCATGACCTAATTTATTTTTTATTTTTTTCAAGCTTCAGCTGCTAAACTCACATTAAGCTGTTTGATATGTTTTTTTTCCTTTTCACGAGTCAATCATTGCTTTAAATTTTAATCAGTAACTGAAGCTGTAATCTGCGGGTAACATATTGAAATACTCCCTCTGCTTATTTTGGCAGTAACTCTGATAGCTGGCAGCAAAGTACATGCTGAGTAGCCCCTTAAAAAGGCAGAGCAGCGTCAGAGTAGCATGTTGCGAGGTGACAGCTGTTCTTTCAGTTTACATTAATTAACCGAGCAAAATCATGGAAAAATGCAATCAGGTTGTTTCTGTTGTGTTTTTTAAAGTGTCAGCAGGTTAGCATTTTGACCTGCAGACTCTTTTGCAGGTCGAAATGATTAAAAGAAAGTCACTGTGGATGATACGCTCTGTTTAAAGGCGTGTGTGTGTTGTGGGTTTTTTGTTGGGTTTTTTTTTTTCCGTTTTTACTGTCATTCTGTATTATTGTTGCTGTTCGGCCCTACTTTCAAATTCAATTGAATTCAAATGAGTTGAGTTGAAGTTCAGTTTATTCCTGCACATTTAATTGCATCCACCTACCTGTCACCCAGGGGAGTGAGGCAGACAGGAGGGAAATAAGAAAGGAAGGAAGAAAGAAGCCACTGTTAATCATAAAACCAAAGTCTTGTCGGTTTTGTTTAAATCTTTATTTAACCATGAAGTGGAGCTCTTGAGATTTAAAATCTCTTTTGTGCGAGTGCGCTGGAGAGCGGGCTGCGCCAACCTAGTGTTTATTTAATGGTAGGTTAATGCAGTTTACAGTCTCTGTGTGACGCTGGTGATAAATAGGCCACATTAATAAATCAGGGTAGTTACCCACAAAACAAAAGCTAAAGATTTAAGTAATGTTATAATAAATATATTAGTAAGAGTTTAAATTTGATTTTTAACACATTTTATTTCATTTTTCTTGTAGTATAAATTGTTATTTAACAGTATTTATTGGTTACATGTAACAAGTTTTGTCTCACGCAGTGTACAGAATCACTGAATGTTTGGATTTCTGTGTGACTTTTGTAAACTTTTTCATATTATTACTAGAGCTTAAAATCATGCATCATTTCCCCAAATAACCATATGTATATCAGAGTTCTTGTTTTGATGAACCTACAGAAAAAGGCTCTTCCGTTTTCTTCGGCTCTACCGTTTTATTTTGTGTGTGTGTGTGTGTGTGTGTGTGTGTCTTTTTAGTTTTTTTGTACCCACAACTTTAGCGTTTTGAGTCACTCTGTCAACCTCAGCAGCAGCATATGGCTGTTTGAGTAGAAACCTCTGATAAAATCACTGTTCACAACTTGTTAGGCACCAAACAGCAGGCAAAGTCGCCGGTCTGCTGCTGAACATTTTGCAGATAAAGAGCCCGATATATGACCGAACAGAGTTAAAAGGAAAGCGCCTAAAAGCATCAGTTCAAAGGAATGCTAATGATGGTCGGCATCTGCTGCTGTATGTGTGAGCAGTGTGTTAGTGCTAATGGGTTACCCATACTAACATCATGAGATGATCATATGTCTGCGTTCACAGCTTGTTGCACTTTACCAAGTGGTCAGAAAATTTATTATTGCTGCTTTCAGTTTTGATATTATTAGTAAGTTTTTCCAGCCGTGTCTGTGTAACCTTATAGCCAT